GCGCGTGCTGCCGGATGAATCCTGTACAACACATGAGACGAAGTGCACGCGCGCGCGTCGTCGCGCGCGCATGCGGAAGTCCTTCACAAACCTGGTTCCCGTAGTGATTTCAAAACAACGAGCGCCCCAAATTTATAGGAAAACACACAGGGTTTTGCAACATCAGCTTGCAATAATGTTTGCACTCGCGCACCTGCGAATCCCTAATAAAACCATGGTTTTCAACATGGACATCAAATTCTGCCAAGCAGGCCCCTCGCGGCGCATGTCGAACTCATCCGAACGCCCTTGCGCACGCGCTGGGAGGGGGGCGGCGATCCGTGTCAAATAATACCATGCGGGCCACTCTTGCGCGTCGGCCGCGCGCGCATGCCGAACTCTTTCCAAAAACTGCATCACCGACGCTCCTCTCATCATCGTGTCTACCGTTTCTGGTGTCGCCATGATACCGCCTTTGTCCAAGTCGCCGGCTCGCACTGAAATGCCCGCTGGAAAAAAAGCCTGGCGGTCAGCGCCACCGCGGCCGCGTTGGTCGCCACGCATTAGATGGTTGCTGCGCGCGCAAGCATGCGGGGGCTAACGCGGCCCCAAACATGCACCAGCCAACGCCAAGCACTCATCACAATTGCCGTCGTATCGGTTCTGCAAGCCATGTTGCGGGCGGGTGTGGGGGGGGGTGATGCGCGAGCTGTGGAGTGGACAACTCACTGCGAGCATTAATGACTTGAACAACATAGATTGCACCACGTATATTCTCGTTCCTGGAAACGATACGATGATGCGCCCACCCCTGGGGCTAACGGTCCCCACCTTCGCATTGCAATTCACGTACGGTTCTGCCCCATCGCCCGTCCGGAATATAAACACAGACCGCCCCAGGCATACCAGCACCGCCCCCTCTCATCATTCTCTGACAGAAAACTGTGTGCGCGCACTCGTTTTTCAAGAATCATCAGTGTTCAGGAACCCTTTGGCAACACATGTGACGAAGTGCAAACGCGCGCGTCGTCGCGCGCGCATGCCGCAATCCCGTAAATGCTTGCAGTTTCGCGCGGGCCCCAAAAGCAGTTGTCACGAAAACATATAACATCACATGGTTCCCCAAATCGCACGCTCAAACAAAAAAATGCGCTCGCGCTCTCTTCTTCAGAAAATCGCATTCTACCAAAGGTGCATCTCGCAAGCGCATATCGAAATCGCTCGACCGCCCTTGCGAGAGTGATGTCTCGAGAACCCCTTGCAACACATGGAACGCAGTGCACACGTGCGCGCCGTCGCGCGCGCATTCGGGCATCCTTCAAAAACCTCCGGTGTCGTAGCGGTACACAAAAAACGAGCGCCCCGAACACATACTTTCGAACAAATACATGGCTTCGCAACATCAGTTTGCAAGAATGTCTGCGCTCGCGCTCCTGCGAACCCTTACGGGGAACATCGGTTTCACAACATGTCCATTACATTCTGCCAAACGGCCTTCTCGCGCCGCGAGTCGAAATCATTCGAACGCCCTTGCGCGCATGCTTGGGGGCACGGTCCGCATCAAATGATACCATGCGGGCCACTCTTGCGCGTCGGTCGCGAGCGCATGCCGAACTTCATCCACAGCCTTCATCACCGACGCAAGGTCGCCATCGCCCCCAGCATCGCTACTACCATCATCGTGTCTACCGTTGTCGACTCGCACTGAAGTGCCCGCTGGGAACTGCCCGGCTGTCAGCGCCACCGCGGCCGCGTCGGTTGCGCCGCACTAGCTGGCCGCTCCGCGCGCGAGCATGCGCGGCCGCAGAGATGTACCAGTCAACGCCAAGCACTCATCACAATCGCCGCCGCATGGGTTGCTCAAACCAAGTTGCGGGTGGGTGGGTGGGATGGTTGCGCGAGCAGTGGAGTTCGCACCGTCAAGTTCGGCAGGGTGAATTGCACCACGTAGTTTGCTCCACCCAGATTCCACAAGATACACTGATGGATGCGGGTCCAAGCTGGCGAACATGTATCATGTATAGGCATGTACAAACACACATCCACATTGATTATCTGACAGTCCCAATTCTAATCCAAGGTTACGAGTGGCCCCGTGTTAAGAGTCACTTAGGGCTCAGGGCTGGTAACAGGCCATATTCGGGGCATGTGGGAGTGGTTTGGGGCTCTTCGGCGCTGTCTTGGAGCCCTCGGGGCAGTCTTTGAAGTCTCTTGTGGGGATGTCTTGGCCATTTCGGGGGCCCTCTTGGGGCATCTTCGGGCCAAAGTTCAGGAAATTGCGAAGCGGGACCCTCACTTTCAAAAGGAGCCGCCCTCCATCTGCGTGTCAGCTGCACGTTTTTCTTGTTCGGGCAATTGGGGAACACGTGCCTACGAAAATCTGAGGCTAGAGCCCCTTTCCGCCGAGAAGGCAACCCTGAATCCGTTCGACTGCTGCGCATGTCCCCGGGTGGGAAAGGAGCAAGGAGGATTGGGCGTTGACGAAGAGACCTGCTGATGATGCGATCGAGGGTCCAGGGCGAACTGCGTCAGGGTCCTTGCTGCAGGCTGTCTCGGTCGACCGCGGAGGGGGAGGCGCCGTCGAGGGCGGGGGCGAGGGAATCGGAGCCTTGAGACGGGGGTCGATGCAAACGGGGGGTCAGCCAGAGTGTCAGATCCTTCAGGGATCCTGCAGAGCCAGGGGTGCCTTGACCCGGGCCTGCGCGCAGGATCCTGCGGGATCTTGCTGGAAGATGATGTTAAAATTGGTGGTGGTTCTTGTGAAGATGACGATGGGCAGGCGAAGGAGGAGGGGGAGGTGGAAAAAGCGACGGAAGAGAAGCATGATGATACAGTCGGACCTGGGCCAGAAAAAACATCGTTCAAGAACGCGGGACCTTCTGATGGTTAATCAAAATAAAATGTTCAAGGTTCCCCAGGATTCCCAAGAGCATCCGACAGACACGAAGAACACCAGGGCACCCTCCCCGAACCGACCTTGATCTTATACCTCGGTCCGGCTGCACGACGAGCGAATTCTCCTTCTCGGAAAGGCTGCCAGCGACCCTCTCCACCCACGAAAAAGGGCGATCAGCCCTCACCACGGAGGCGTGCAGGGAAACGGAGCAGGAGGTGCAGGGGGAGGAGGGAAGGGGGGAGGAGGAGGGAGGCAGGACGGAAGCAGGAGGGAGGGAGGAAGAAAGGAAGGGGGTAGGAGAGAAGCACGAGGGAGAGAGGGAGGGAGGGCGGAGGCGGGAGGAGCAGAGGAACGAGGGGGGAGAGCTCCCTCCCCTGACTGGTCCCCGTCCCCGATCTTGACAGGCCCAGATGGCCACGGGGGCCAGGCGCGCGCGCGCGGCTCCACACTCGGCCCATGAAAGGGGAGGGCCGGCTCGACGGGCGCGGGAGGTGCGTCCTCGGATCTGCTCGGCGGGCGCTCGCACAGTGCCTCCGTCGCCGCCGCGCGAGCGGACGGACCAGAGGCGCCGCCGCCGCCGCCGCGCTAGCGGATGGGCTGGCGGCGCCAGCGGACGGACCAGCTCCTCCTCCTCCTCCTCCTCCTCCTCCTTTTCCTCCTCCTCCTCCTCCTCTTGTTCTTCTTCTTCTTCTGCTTCTCAGTATTATTATTATTCTTCTTCTTCTAATTATTATTATTCCTCCTCCTCCTCCTCCTCCTCCTCCTCCTCCTCCTCCTCCTCCTCCTCCTCCCCCCCCCCTCCCTGCATAATCCCCACGTGCTCCGCCCCGCCACCTCGTCCCCGTTTTCCCCTCGTCCTCCCCTCGGAGGTCCCCGCAGGTCGCTTCCCGCAGGACTCCTGAGGACGCAGGTCGCTGAGGCAGCAAGAAGCCTCCCGATGACCAAGAGAGGGCAATGACGTCCAGAAACCGCATCCATCCCGAGCGATCTCCGCCAGACCCCTCCAGAGGTACTTTGTGAGAAGAATTCACGAGAGAATCCAGCAGTGGTAACGAGAGCTCTGCATGAGCCTGAAGCGCCCAGACGCCTCGAACCTCTCAGCCCTCGAACCTGGAACCTCGACCCTCCTCCTCCTCCTCCTCTGTTTCCTCCTTCTCCTCCTCTGTTTCCTCCTTCTCCTCCTCCTGCTCTGTCCTCCCCCCACCATTCCTTCTACGGGCGTCCGCAAGAGCCTTCATTTGCTCCTTAAGGGGCCTCCTTCCATCGGTTTCTGATGGTCCCGCGGCCCGAAAGCAGCCCCTGGAAACCGACAGACCATGAACACCCCGGGACTGAGCAAAAACCAGCCCGCCAGAGGGCTGGCATCTCCATCTCCTCCTCCTCCTTTTCCTCCTCCATTTCTTCCTTCTCCTCCTCCTCCTCATCCTCCTCCGACTTCTCCCCATCCTCCTCCTCACCCACTGGGTAAAGGAATGACCCACGGACCACGGACGTACGACCAGGTTCGGGGGACTCGGGTTGGCCTGACGGGGCGATCATGGAAATGAGGAGGCCCCTGAAAATTGACGCGAGCCCCCGCTGCAGAACCTCAAACGGAAACTGTACAACCAAAAGCCAGGACGCGCTCGTAAAGAAGCGCCAGCAAGCCCGAGCTCCGGAGTACTCGAGTCTTACGTTTCCCAAGAAAGAAAGAGAGCGAACATAACAAAAATAGGCAGAATGTGTGTGCGTGTGCGTGTGCGTGTGCGTGTGCGTGTGCGTGTGCGTGTGCGTGTGTGTGTGCGTGTGTGTGTGTGTGTGTGTGTGTGTGTGTGTGTGTGTGTTTGTGTGTGTGCGCGTGCGCGTGCGCGTGCGCGTGTGTGCGCGTGCGCGTGCGCGTGCGCGTGCGCGCGTGTGTGTGTGCGTGCGCGTGCGCGTGCGCGCGTGTGTGTGTGTGTGTGTGTGTCCGACCACCGTGTGTGTGTGTGTGTGTGTGTCCGACAACCGCGCTCTGGCCCTGCGCACCTGGCTGCTGCCGCACGCCGGCTGCTCATCGTCGAAGTCTTCGGCGTCTGCGCGTCCCTTCTTCCTCCTCTCGTCGGCCTCCCCCCTCCCTCCTTGCACAACGGCCACTTCGCTGGTTTGTGCCCCGACCTAGCTGTTACGCTGATGCGGATATCGCCGCCTCGCCGCTTACGAAACAGAGTGTGTGTGTGTGTGTGATTCGGACTGCGAATTCGGAAGAGTATTGTTACGTCGCGGCGCCCTCAAGAGCGCCGCTTTGCCCCTGGCGGGGAGCCCGAGGCGCGGCGCGACGGCCTCAGACCTCGGCGGCGCTCCGCGGGCGCGCGCGCGCGCGGTCGCCTGCCTCCTCCTCCTCCTCCTCCTCCTCCTTCGCCTCCCCCTCCTCCTTTCTTCCTGCTCCTCCTCCTCCTCCTCCTCCTCTTCCTCCTCCGCGCGCCCGCGGCGCGGGTCCCGCGCGCTCCCGCCGCCGCGGGGCTGGCGCGGGGCACAGCCCCCCGCGCGCTCCTCCCCTCGCCGGCCGTGCCGTGGCCGCAGGCACGGGGGCACTGCGAGAGGACACGCGGCCCGCCCGAGGGCACCCTGGCGAATAGAGAGACGCCGGATGGCTCGGCGGCCGCAGGCGGGCCTCCTCCTCCTCCTGTCTCCTGGCTACCCCTTCCTTGCTTTTCTCCCCCTCGCCCCTCATCCGTCGTCGTCGTCGCCGCCGCCATGAACGACGCCGCCTCCGTCGCTACCGACGCCGCCCCAGTCGTCGCCGAGGTTCCCGCTGTGGTCGGGAGCTGTTGCTCAGCGTGTCGCAGCGGCGGCCCTGGCGACAGGCCATGCCCTGCCGCGCGAGGAGGACAGCGCGCCGCTCCGCTCCGCGGGGCGGGGGGCGGGGGGAGGGCTCGGGACGCTGACGCTCGTGGGCCAGGCCATGTCGTGGTTGGCGTGTCGCTTTTTTGACGAGCGGGGGCAGGCGCGACGCGCAGCCGCGGGCGCCCAGCGAAGCCCAGGTCAATGCGGGGCTGTCGGGAGCTCCGCGAGACGCTGCGCCACGATGCGTGCGTTGTCTGCTCCGATGGCTGGCGTGTCGCACCTGAATGGGCGGATCGACGCGCGAAGCCAAGTCTCCGGGCAGCAGCAGGAAGGAAACCGACAGGACGCCTGGGGCGAGCGTCCCCCTGCGAGTGGGCAGGGGCGCCCTGCCCGTCGGTCGCAGCTGCACACCACGCCGTGTCGGTGACATTCCGTTCCGCCCTGCCCCATCGCCAGGTCCCGTCCCGTTAACGGCCAGGCTGCTGCAACAAGGAGCGCTGCATGAGGAACGAAGCCCCTCTTCCAATGGCTCCCAACTTCGCGCTGCGCGCTGCGCGAAGCGCGAAGTGCGAATCACTTCGCGCTCTCGCGCCGCCTCCCAGGGGATAAGAGGAGGATGAGTAGGAATCGGAGCCGAACCGCGAAGCGCGAAAACCTCGCGCCCACGAGGGCGGCCTAGCTCTTCTGGCACCAGCAACGCCCTGGTGCACGAGGAGGGCTGGAGGAAGAGCCACGGCACGACCTCAGGGACCGCAGGCCCCTTCCGAACCCCAAGCGGTCCTGAGTTCAGCGTCTCGGCTGTACGAGGTGAGAGCGGCGAAGGCACCTTTCTGCGGCCACCTTTCTACGGCCACGTGTTAGAGAGCAGAGAATCCACCCCCATAACAACCACCCCGACAAGCGAAGCCGTTTAGCAAACTCCCCCAAGGAAGGCATCGAACAGGGCAGGGCTATGTACTAAACGCCCAAAGCCGTTTAGTACACGCCGATTATCCGGTCCGGGTGTGTTTTCCTCCGTTGATGTTGCGGGGCCTCGGAGGAACAAAGCAGCGTCGTGCTTCTGTCCATCTATCACACATCCGCTGGTCGGGCTTCCTCACCGAAAACTCGATGGACGCTCCCCCCCGCCGACCCAACTTATCAAACCCCGCGACCCGATACTGGCAGATGTCTCGCCTCCTCCTCCTCCTCCTCCTCCTCCTTCTCTTGCCCGCTCCGTCCCCCGAGCATGCGCAGGCGCAGGCAGAGGGATCGGGAGGGAGAGGAAGCGTGGGGGAGGTGGAGGCGCCGATCCCGTCGCTCACGCTCCCTCGACCCCCGCCGCGGCACCGCACGCGCTCCTCTTGCTCCTGCGCCTGGCTGGGGGCACCGCCCTCTCCAGAAATCCCACCGCTCCTGGCGTAGAGCGCGTGGAGGCGGAGGAGGAGGAGGAGGAGGAGAAGGAGGAGGAGGAGGAGGAGGAGGAGGCGGAGGAGGAGGATGAGGAGGAGAAAGAGGTAGAGGAGCAGGAGCGACGCCAGGGGCGGGCGGCCCGCCGACCCCGCTTCCCCTACCGCAGGGAGAGAGGTGCGAAGCCCCGTGGACGGGACGGTGGCGGGCACGGGCCGGCACCAGGATCGCGAGCACCGTGCACGCGCCAGGCGCCAACCGGAGGTGCACCACACGTCCTCCGTCCCGCATGCGGCCGGGCGCTGTGCGCCACAGAAGTCTGCGGAACGAGCTCGGGGGCTTCAGGAGATCCTCCTCTCGGACCGTGCACTGGATTTGCATCCCCTGCCAGTCGTCTGGCAGCGAGCAGAAGCTTCAGAGGAGGGGTTCACTTTAGGCGGGGGGGAGCGGGAGGGATATTCTGGCTTCAGAGCGTTTGGCCCCGCCCCCCGTCCTTGCCCTCTCCTGCCCTCCCCTGTTGCAGTCTTCTCCCGTCTTCCCTCCCACTCCTCCCTGCCTCCCCTCCACCTCCTCTTTTTCCCCTTCGCTCCCCCCTCCTCCGCTGGAACCCACAGCACCACGGCGGTCAAGAGTAACATGACCATTGTGAACAACACGACTGGGGCGAACAGCAGTATCCGTGCTCCCTGCGAGAATGGGGTTAGTACCACGCCGACTGGGACTAGTAGTGCGCAGTACGAGCGCGAGCGGCACCGAGAATGTTTCTACCACGACTGGCTCAATATGTACGTCCGTAAAAATACGAGCGCGAGCACCAGCAAGAGCATTGCCAGCACGACGGGCCAACAAGACGTCGATGATCAGTGCGAGTGCGAGCAGCAGCACGAGTGTCACCTGCTCAACTGAGACTAGCAATATCGTTGCGAACAGAGATACGCGTGCTGAAAGAACAAGTGAAACCGTCAGTACTACTGCAGTACTGGCCAGAGGCGAGCAACACCTCGGGTGTTACCATCAGGACGGGATCAGCAGCAGCACGGCGGCATGAAATATACCATCACAACTGGGACTAATAGTGCGTCGGTAAGCACTACGAGTGCGAGCATCAACGCGAAATTGGCAACCAGATTGGGATTTTCAACGCGTCAGGAAACAGTACGGGTGCGAGAGGCAACACTAGCTACCCAAAAGAGTGGGGCTCGCAGTACGTCGGCAGGCGCTACGCCTGTTTCGTGCGCGACTGGAGGTTACACAACGTCGGCATCCTTGAGCAGCACGAGCGCGAGAGCAACAACAAATTGTTACCAACACGACGAACACTACTAACAACACGGCGACCGGGAACACCGTGATTACTGTGACCAACACTCGGCTCCCCTTCTCGGGGTCGTGCAAACAAAGATTAGCGATCCATGGATTTGGCGCGCCGTCGCCAAATCCATGGATCTGGGGAGGTGCCCTCCCCATAGTGCGGCCGGTGCCGCCTCGTTCGGCGGCGGGAATCCGCGATGTCCTATGGAAACGCGACCCGTCGCTAATCCACGCTCCCTGAATCCATATTTGCGATCGCTTGAGTCAACCCCTCTCCTACGCTTTGTCCTCCTTCTGCTCCACCCCCTAATTACCCCCCGCCCGGCTCCCGCTCCCCGTCCGCGCCCTCTCCCGCTCCTTCTCCTCCTCCCCCCCTCCTCCTCCCCTCCTTCCCCATCCTTCTCTCTCTCTCTCTCTCCCACTCCACCCTCCCTCCCCTCGCCCCCTCCTCCTCCCCCCCCTTCCTCCTCCCCTCCGCCCCCATCCTTGTTTATTCTCGCTCTTTCTCTCTCTCTCTCTCTCTCTCCCCTCTCTCTCTCTCTCTTTCTCCCCCGCACTCCACCCTCCCTCTCCTCTGCACGCTCCACTCCCCCGGCCCACGCCTCCGCCCATCGGCCTCCTACTCAGCCATCGGAGCAGGACGAGTTGAGACAATGCCGGCTCCAACTCGGGCCCCAGACCCCTCCCGGCAAAAGTTGTCCGAGCTGCGTCCAGCTGTGGCGACGAGTGCCCCCCCCCCCGAAGGCCAACTACCGTCGTGTCAGAGATCGCCCTCTGCTCCTCCTCCTCCTCCTCCTCCTCCTCCTCCTCCTCTTCCTCCTCTTCCTCCTCCTCCTCCTCCTTCTCCTCCCCCTCCTCCACTACAATTGTGCCGCCCATCTGCCTCCCACCCGACCATCTGCGCGGCCGGATTGCACGGCCAATCGCCAGGCGGGAGCACGAGAGGCCACTCCGCCGCGCGTCGATCCGGGGCCCCGACTTGCTGAGCACCCGATCTCGCCGAGCTCCGCGAGACCCTCGCGGAGCTGGCCCTCGCGGAACTCCTCTGGTCGCTCTTCGACTGCGAGCTGGGGCAGCTCTCCGCAGCCCTGATGGATCCGTCGCTGCCTGTGGAGGCAGAAGAATCACTGGGAGGACGCCCTTCGCACGGAAGATCGGCGCGCGGATGCGGAAACCACGCGCTGGACACGGGTGCGGGCGGTCAGCATTTCCCGCCATGCGAGGGCCCTGCCACGTCATGCGAGGGCAGCTCCTTCGATCCTCGAGGGCGAGGCCATTTTTGGAACGCCCCATGTGTGCTTCTCGGTGCACTCGTACGGCACGTGCACCTACACACCGATCCTGGGCTCAGGGTTGGCTGGGCCAGGCTCGAGGTGGATGTGCTGTGGGCGTCCTTTGACGTGAGGAACCCTACATAAGGAACGAGGCCCTGTCTTTTCAATAAGTTAAGCTCCCATTTCCCATAGAACACCTATGGAACACTTAAGACAAACTACAGAACAAGTAAAGAACACTGACCCACTCCCCAACGAAAAGGGTTCCTTCTTAATCGGCCCGACTGTACGGAAAGACAAAGAGGGACGGGAGGTGGGCGTCGAGTCGACCGCTAGAAGAAGGCATAACCTGGATTCGAGGAAAAACAGACGGCATCAACTTTCGAAACTCCGTGCGGATTTCTCGGATCCGCGCTGGGCCCCACTGGCGGCGTCACTGGCGCCGACCCAGGCGCGCTCCGCGCGGCAGGGAGGGGGCTCCCAACGCCAATCCAAGAAGTCCGCGCGGAACGCCGCACCTTTCTGGGGATGCCGTTCTCTCCTCTTCGATGGACGTCCTCTGTCCTGCCGGAGCTGCCGTGCTCTCGACGCTCCTCGCTAACCGCTGCCGTCCCCGCTCGCTCCAGCGCGCGCCGCGGGCATCCGGCGCCGCCACTGGCCGGATGAGCCGCTGCCCACCCTCCCATTGGAGGCCTGGAAATGGGCACCAACACCAACACAAGGGGTTGCCTCCTCAAGGGGAAGATGATCCAAAATTCCGGTGTTGGTGCTAATATTTCGGCCACCTAGGAATCCCGAATATTACCACCATCACCGAGATCGGGATCTTCCTCTCTCGGTGGAGGCACACCGCCGAAATTGGTGTTGGTGTCAACCTCTCGGCCTGCGACCCCCTAAAACTCGTGGAACCCTTCCCTGGCGTTGTCTGCATTTGCAATTTGGCCGTCTACCGAACGTCCTCGAATACTCGGCGGCGACTTCGAATCTCGGCGATCCTGAGGTTCAGAGTCCTGCTCCTGATCCTTGAGGTATTCCGTGACATGAACAATTTGCCTTTGCAGAGTGTTCCTCGCCCAGAGGGTTGTCTGACTTCGTCCACAATTTTTTAAAGATATTTCTGAATACTCCTCCTGAATAAGGACATGCCCGACTTAAACCTAGGACAGAAGAGCATCCTTCAAGAACGTGGGACCCCCCGTCGGCCAAAACACAAGGAGCATCCGAGGGCATCCTCCCCAGGATACACAAGAACCTCCCATAAACTCGATGAACACGAAGGGTGCCCTGCCCAAACCGATCTCGATCTTGCATTGAGCAGGGACCGACCGTCATGGCATTCCTGTAGGCATATCACGAGATTGTCTTAGAACCCCAAACAAATTCTAAGAACGAACACCATGTTCTCATGTGAGCCCGACGTGTTAAAACAAGGCTGCATCGGCCAGAAATGATCTCATGACATTTGGTGCAAACCACAGCAGGTTCTTGGAACATTCTTCGGTGGGCCTATAATCAGGCAACCCCGGGGTCTTCTGCCAGGAGCCTGGGCCTGGGCCGCGGTCTTCTGCCATGGGGGTCAGGTGCAGGGAGAGCAATGGCAGAGCAGCGTGGATGGCCAGGGCGCACTCGAGGGCAAAAGTGTGGGGGGGTCATCAGGCGATTACCCGCCGAACATTGGGACCGCCGTGTACCCCCTCCTCTCAGACCTCTGGTGGCTCGGAAAAAAAACAGCTCTCCCACGCACAGTCGACGAAAAACCCTGGAGACCCAAACCCGGGATGAAAAGGCAGCGCCAGAGAAAGGGTCGAGAGTTCCGGGGTCCAGCGATTCGAAAAAATGGAGTCGTCGGAACTTCCCCACTCCCCACCACCGCTCACCTTTCCCCCGACCGTCCCCGTCTTTCCCTGGAAGTTCTTTCCCCGTTGCCGCCCCCCCCCGCCAAACGCGCTAGATGCAGGCAGTCTTCCAGGAGTGCATCCACCGCTGCCAGCTCGAAAGTATGAGGAGGAGGAGGAAGAGGAGCAGGAGGATACGATACACAGACTCTTCTTTGGATCTGCCGCACACGGGGAATGCCACTGTTTCGATGACGCGTTTCTGTCGTGCTTCTCGCGGCATCCACTTTTCGTGGTCGCCCCAATTGTTCTTCTCGGCCTTCGTGGCTGGTCTCCTCAGCATTTCTCGCCTCCGCAATCCAATGTGAGCTTCACCGCGATCGTGCCCCCCACCACTCCTCCTCGTCATCGCTACCTTCTCCTGCTTCATCCCTTACGCTTCCAAACAAAGATCGCCCTAAACGGTGTTTCTCGTTTTCGTTTCGTTCTCGTTTTCCCTCGCCTGGTTTTGTCTTCAATCCGCTTTTGCTGGAAAATCGTATCGAAACGAAAGCTGCCCACGAAGTCGCCAGAACACTGTTCAGGTCGCCCCCGGCTTTCAAACTCCCCACTGTCGTCCTCGTCAGTCGCATCGCCTATCAGCTAGAGGTCTATGTGGCAATCGACCCCATCGCATAGAAGAACAAAAACGGCATGTACATAAACTATTGGCGTCCCGCGCGAGTTTTTTGGGGATCTGCGCTGGACCCCCCTCCCTGGCGCGCAGAGCGCGCCAAGGGCAGCGCACGAGGCGCCGCTGGGGGGCCCAGCGCGGACCCGAGAAACCCGCGCAGAGCGCCAAACATTTATGTCTATGCCGTCTCTTCATCTTCGAGAAAATAGTCGGTCTCGCAGGGGCCCATGTGCCTCTCGGGCGTCATGCCCACATCGAACATCTCACGCGCCAGGGCTTTCCTTATTCAGCTCGCACGTCTGCTGCTAACTTGGGCCCGCGCCTCCGTCCGCGCGCGCGGCACCTCAGCGACGATGCTTGTGGACGACAGCCGCTCCATCGTCGCAGCCATATTTGGCGCATCGTTCGCTGCGCCGCCAAATCTTCGGCGCGGTCCGAAGCTTCGGTCGCGAGAACACCAAAAAGGCACTCCCGCTGCTCCCCGGAGCCCTCCCAGGGGCGCGCCCTGGCCAGGACTTCGGAGCGAATCCAGCCTCCAGCCGTGGCGGCGCGGGCCTCCCTTGGAGACCCTGGAGAGGGGAGAGCGGGCGAAGGGGTAGCGGTGTGGGTGCCTCGTCCTCCTCGGAAATCTTTGGCGCATCGTGCGCTGCGCCACCAAATTTTCGGTGCGGTCTGAAACTTCGGTGCCCGCACCCAGCTGGATTACGGAGGTTTCTCGCGCTGCCCGCGTGAGCGTCCACCGTCGCGGCCTCGCTCTCGCCCGCGTGCTCCCCAGCCTTCGCCGCGCCGTGCCCGCAGAAATGGCTGCGGCCTGGCGCATACCCCACATATCTGAATCAAAGGGAGGGTGTCGCAACCCTCCCAGACGACCAATTTTACCCCCCCCCAGACCAGCTACTGTATGGGCCCGAGTACAAGAAACCTACCACAAGAAGCCCAACCCTGGAACCCCAGGACGTCCATGGATTGTGGTGTGGGGGCGCCACGCTTCCCATAGCAGAACCATCGAAACCCAAGACACCCAGGGTACACTGGAGGAAGGCAGGGTGTTTCTTGGCATGGGTATCCGCTGTATGGAAAAAAACCTTGTGCCCAGACCCCGCTGGAGCCCTGCCAGACAACCCCAAACAAACACTACCCTGCGACGTACCCAACCTATCTGCATCGATTGGAGAGAGACTTTGGGCAAGATTGGCAAAAACGACGACACTGCAAGCGCGACGGATTGTTGTGCAATCTACATGTGATGAGCGCGCGTTGCGCGACTCAAAGGGCAGCGATCGACAGGACGAGGATTGGGGCACAAGGCTTGAAAAAGAACGGGGGCGGGAACGATGGGTAGGAAAATGAGGAAATAGTGGGGACAGGAAACCATCGCAGCAGCAGCTGCATGAAGAAGGTGGCATGGGGAATAGGGTGACGATGGAAGTGGTGGGATGAAACAAAAGAGTTTCGCTGTTTTCAATAGCTGGCTAAACATGCAGCGCTGGCCGACGCTGGCCCCCCAGCAACCCTCGAAAGTGGCGACATTTTCGCAAATCGCAGCGCCACAGGTATGGCGATGCCAAATCTGGGTCTGCGGCGGGTGCCCACTATGCTGGTCCCTCTAGCAGCCCTCGAAAGTGGCGACCGTTTCACAGATCGCATCCCCCCCAGGGTTTGCGAGGTCTAATTTGAACCCGCAGCGGGTATCCACTATGCCGGTCCATCCCAGCAGCCCTCGAATGTGGCGACAGCTTCGCAGATCGCGGCCCCCCAGGGATGGCGAGATCTAATTTGAATCCGCCGCGTGTGCCCACTGTGCTGCCCCCCCAGCAGCCCTCGAACGTGGCGACAATTTCACAGATCGCCGCCCCCCAGGGATGGCGAGGTCTAATCTGGATCTGCGGCGGGTATCCACTATGCTGGCCCCCCAGCAACCCATGAAAGTGGCGACAGTTTCGCAGATCGCAGCCCCCCAGCGATGGCGAGGTCAAATCTGAATCTGCGGCGGGTACCCACTACGCTGGCCCCCCCCAACAGCCCTCGATACTGGCGACAGTTTCGCAGACCGCACCCCCCCAGCCCAGGGAGAGAGGAGAAGGGAGGCGGGGATGAGGCGGGCAGGAGGAAGGAGAACGGAGAGCGCAGTGCTATATTGAAAACGAGAACCCAACGCAGGAGGGTTGGGAATAACATGCTCGCCACTGTTTTAACGTGAGATCTGAAATGCACCGTTTTTTTCTGCGACGAACTTCCCGACCCCAACTCGCACGATAAGCAACTGCGAAGCGGGCGGTCGACGAAATTCTTGGGAAGATGCTTGAAACACCACACGCCGTGCCGAATATCGTTCCTGTGCCTGTGCCTTATGAAATGCATGCCGGGCTCGAATAGATCGCGGAGCGCCCTGCTGTGCACGCGTCTTCCTCCACCGAAGCCGCGGTTCTCGCGGTTGCCCGTCATGGGCAGAAGAAGAGCGTATAATACAAGGGAACTTTACCGTGGGCGACCTTGTGCGACAAACCTACAACAGACAAGTACCGTCTCATACGCGTTGGGTCGAAGTTTTAATCGCTCGAGGCCTCGTCTTCTGAAGCCTCAGCCGACGCATCAGCTGCGTGGAATATTGCCGGAGTGGCGCCGTCGACGAACGAAAAAACGTGGCACCTGAACGGTCTGAAAAGCTTGGCAATGCTGTGGAAGCTGCATGACCAGAGCAGCGCGCGAAGCCGCCAGGATGCTTCGCCAACAAATTCTTGAACGGAGCTGTACATGGTCAAGTTGGGATTGGACTGCACGCAGTATTGTTGAAATCGTCTCGGTGCGGCCTGCACCTGTCCAGAATGTGCACGCTCTCTTTGGTCCTCGGTCGCCACCTTGTTGGCTGCGTCCCAATCGCGACACCCTCAAACTCTTTCCAACAATTGAAGTCGTCAGCGAAAACGAGTTTGTGAAATCGGCCGAAGACACAACAATTTCGGCATCACCACCCAATACCTTCCAGAACGGCGGCCCCAGAACCGTGCCCCAGAAATCCATGTCAAATAGCAAGAAAGACTGCGAGATAATTCCATCTACGCCGATAGCCGCCTGTCTTCCCGAAAGCCACGACCGGATAACCTTCTGCTCGCATGCCCCAGCTGCGCACAATTTGGCCACGAGGTAGTCCGAAGTGACCCTGTCAAACGCTGCAGCAGCGTCCGAACAATACGCTCCCACGCGCCGGCCGCTGAAGATTGAGCGCATCCAGCAACTCACCATGTCGGCCGAAATGCCCAATGCCGCACCTGCAGCGCGCCGCAAAACCACCGAGCGTCTCGAAATCCGCTTGCCCATGGGCGCCAAGCACTGCTCGTCAGCCGAGCTGTCGGCGCGACGAGGCACTCAGGAGTTCCCCGTGGGTCCGCACGTGGGCACCCTCTGCTCCAGACTCTTTGCGCCGTTGACTGGTCCTGCGTCGAGCGCCCCGTTCCCCAGCGGGGCGCGACACAAAACGGCCCCCGAGAAGCTGGTTGGCACACGAACGCGCCCGCCGTCACGTTGTTTCGCCGACGCCAGGTTTTTGGCAAATCCTAGCCGGTCCCTCGAGCTGCGCTCCACCGTGGCAGGAAGGAAATCCCAACGAACGCAACTTAGAATCCGCCACCGCGCTTGCAACGGCTGGTGTATGTTGTGTGTGTGTGGTGTGTGTGTGTGTGTCAAGCCCTTGTTGTTTGTCGTGCGTCCCGCTTCTTGCGAAACCATAGTTCGGGCCCCCTGACGCAGCCAACTCAACATCCATACATTCTTCACCTCATTCATGCATACATTCGAGGCGCTAAACATCGAGGCGCTGGTAGGCACTCTCCGAGTCCGCACTTCGCGCTCACATCGCTGCCCAATGGTGGCCTCTATAGCCCCCCCCCCAGTCCCCCCCCAGATGGCCCAAGAAGGCCCGCAAAGGCGGCATTCAAGTCGGACACGGGGGCCCTGTATGGCCTCAAGATGGCTTCCAATACGGCCCACATGGCCCCATGACGAACAAAGGGGCCTTCCAAACGCCACAAGAGGGCTCGAGGAGGACCCACAAGGGGGCCCAGCGCATCTTCAGGGCTTCGAACATCCCAAGACCCTGAGATCTGACGTTGCGAAAAAATTGCAAGTTCACAGAAATCACGCCCGGAACCCCAGACCCCACCCTTCTGCGCAAATCTGTCAGCCGGAACGATGTAAGGGCCCTGGCGCCTGAAAAAGCGTGATAACGTCCGTGGTGAAAGAACTGCAACGCCAGGATCACAGGGGAGGGCACAGGAGGCCTCCGAAATGTCCCGAAGGCGGCCAAGAGGCCTCCGAGAAGGGTCCCAAGACGGCCAAAACGACCTCCAGGTCGGACGATATGGCCCTATGTATGGCCGCCACGACAGGCGCAGATGACTTCAAATACGGCCACGATTGCCCCGCTCGGGGCTGATGCCTCCTATTCTGTGGCAAACACTCGTCTGTGCCGGATGTGTCGCCGTCGCCGGCGTCGCCCTCGGCGTCGCAGCCGGACCGTCGTCGTCGTCGTCGTCGTAGTCGCCGTCGTTGTCGTCGTCGTCGTCGTGATCGTCGTCGTCGAAGTCGTCGTCGTCGCCGCCGCCGTCGTCGTCGTCGTCGTCGTCGTCGTCGTCGTCGTCGTCGTCGTCGTCGTCGTCGCCGTCATCGCCATTGTCGTCTTCGCCGTCGTCGTCGCCGTCGCCGTCGCCAGCGTCGTCATTCTCCATCCATGTCATATTCCTCCTCATCCTTTTGCTCATCTCTCTTTCTCACTGCTCTGTCTATCTCTGTTTCTCTCTACATATACATATATATATATATATATATATATATATATGTGTGTATCTCTCTCCCTCTCTCTCTCTCTCTCCCTCTTCTCTCTCCTTCTCTTTCTCTTCCAACAGGAGAGAACAAAGCGATTAACAATAAACTTCGAGGAGCGCGGGTTCTCAAGAACGGACATGTTGTATGGATTCAGCGCCCGCGGAGACCCTGGCCAGAAACCTAAGTGGAAGAAAAAGGGGGGAGGGACGGGGTGGGAGTGCGGAAGGCGGGGAGGAGCAAATGGAAGAGGCCAGGAGGATAGCACGAAGTAGAGGAGGAGGAGGAGGAGAAAGACCGGATATTCGAGGAAAGGCAGGAGGGGGAAACAGGATTACGCCCGAAAGGGAGTAAGGCGTGACAGGAGCAGACGGTCCTCTGTCCTTTCTCCACCCTTCCAGCCCTGCGCCTCCTCTTCATCCTCTTTGCCTCTCCCCTGAAACCCGCCCTGCTCGCCCTCACTCCTCCTCGTCCTCCTCCTCCACCCTGTCCTCCTCCTCCTCCTCCCTCCTCCCTCCTCCCTCCTCCTCTTCTTTCTCCCTCCTCTTTCTTCCTCTCCCTCCCAGCCCCCTCCCTCCTCCCTCCTTCATCGTTCCTCATCTTCCGTACCCCTCCCCTCTTCCCACGCCTTCTTCCTGCCTCTTCCTACGACTTTGACCCCACGTTGTTCCTTCGTCTTCCTGTGTCTGCTGCCCACGCCTCATTCCTCCTCCTCATCCTTCTTGTCTCCTCCCCCTCTTCCTCCTGCTCTTACTTCCTCTCCCCCAATGCTCGCTCGTTCCGCTCCTCCCTTCTCCCCCTCCTCCTCCTCCTCCTCCTCCTCCTCCTCCTCCTCCTCCTCCTCCTCCCCCTCCCCCTGAAAAAAAACCCAGGGACACCGGAGCGCGTCCCCACACCCGCCACCTAGGGGAACCCATGGGCGTTGGGGTTATGGTCCCGGGTGCCTAGAAACAAGAAGCAACACTTACCAGACACAGCTCTTGGAGAACTGGTCCTGTGGCTTTCCGCCGCTAAGTGTTCCCCGCCTCCTCCTCCTCCTCCTCCTCCTCCTCCTCCTCCGCCGCCCCTGAGGAGGGCTCACGGGCCGCCTGAATATCCCGAGATGGCCGCCGCAGCGTCGATCGACGCGTTCCTGCACGTGCCAGCGAGGCGCGGCTCGCCACTCTCTCTGGGGCCTCTTCTCCGCCAGATGCCCTGGACACCCCCCACAGGGGAGGAGGAGGAGGAGGAGGAGGAGGAGGAGGAGGAGGAGGAGGAGGAGGAGGAGGAGGAGGAGGAAGAGGAGGACTAGGACGAGGAGGAGGAGGAGGAGGAGGATGAGGAGGAGGAGGAAGATGAGGAGGAGGAGGAGCGACCGTACCAAGAAGGAACGAGACGAGGGCAGGCGGGCAAGACGCGAGAAGAGGGCAAGAGTCCGCGTGTCCGCTTGTCTCGTCTATGGCCGCATCGCATGCAGTGCAGCAGCTAGGCACTCAATGCCTGTAGTGTAAAGAAGCGCGGCGCGGGGCGCGGCGTGCGTAATGATACGCAGTTTGTTGAAGTGAAATGAAAGTGCTGTCCTGCGAACAGCTTGTGAAACTGTGTGCTCTGGGTTTGAACGTTGCTGTGACGTCCCTAGGCCAATTCGCACGAGGGGGTCCGAGGAGAGAAAGGAACGAGGTAACGCGAGGAAGTGCAGAAGGCGAGGACAGGTGAGGTAGTGGCCGAGACGGTCAGGGCAAGCTTCGCACCCGAGCAGACACGTGCGGCGCGGTCCGAATGGGAATCGGTGACTGGTCCACCATGCTCCCGCTAGCGTTTTAAAGACAGCCCAGCGGATGGCTGGAGCTTTCTTTGAAAGGTATTCTGATAGCTCCGTCCAGCGGGTTGGTAGGGCTGGGGGGAGCACGATTTCTGGGAGAGCCGACGAGAGGCGGCGCGCTAGGGTCTCTGCGAACTTGTCGGGGTAGAGGGAGGCGTGGAGGACCGAGGCAAGAGTTCGCTGGACCCTAGAGCGGCGCGCTTCGTTGGTGGCAGCAGCGTGCTCGTCTGCAGCGGTTTGTTGCGCCGAGCGCCAGATGGGCAGTGAAACGTCGTATGGCGGCTGACCGTCGGCGAGGTCTCGCCAGTATTCCACGATACCTGGACTTTTCCAAAACACAGGCGAGATCGTGGCCCGAATACGGGCCTGCCCCAAATCCGCCAGAGACAGTTCTGGATTGAGCTGGTCCTGGGCCAGGACGAGAGCGCGATACAGCGGCTTCCAGTCGGGAAGCGTGGCAGTGGCGGCGCGCCAGGCAGCTGCGAGTGAAAGCGTGACCAGTGAATTGGGGGAGGACGAGGGCGACCACGAGCGAGTACCGAGGAGGTCGACGAGGCGCCAGGAGTTGGGGGGTGCACGTAAATTTTTGTGCAGCGTGCAGCGCTCGTGCCGCAGAAATGTGGCAGGGAACGGGAAATATTGCGTGAGATACGAAAGCACAGTGATAACACATGTGTTATATAACTTGATGGCAACTGAGGGGCCAGGCGCGCTCGCCGCAAGCTGCACCACCCGTAGCCAGTATTTGTCGAATGCGGCCTTCCATTGGATGTCTAGAGTGACGGCGGGACCGATGAGTACCCCTAGATAGCGGGCGTACTCGGCAATTCGAATGTGTTGCCACTCTGGGACTAGAAATTTGAGCAAGCGCTGAGTGAGGGATTGCACGGCAGGTGAGAAGGCGGCCCACAAGGGCACAATCACTGTCTTCTGAATCTGAAGTTCGAGTCATGAGGAGGAGGAGGAGGAGGAGGAGGAGGAGGAGGAGGAGGAGGAGGAGGAGGAGGAGGAGGAGGAGGAGGAGGAGGAGGAGGAGGAGGAGGAGGAGGAGGAGGCGGGGGAGGCGGAGGAGGAGGAGAGGGGATTGAGGAAGAGAGTGAGAAGGGGAGGGGGGAGGAGGGGGATGAGGAGAATCGTGTTCGAAGAGGTTCTTCTCCGTGTCCTCCTCGCCCTCCTCCCCAGAGTCTTGACAACCCCACAGGGGGAGGAAGGAGGGAGGATGAGGTGCTGATATGAAGATGCGGTTTGCCGCCTCCCTCCCGCAGAACGCCCCTCTCCCGCCCCCCCCTCCCCCAACGGGGCCGCGACGCCCTCCGAACCCGCTGCTCTCCCCGGACCTCTCCGCGGGCCGCACCCTGCCCAGGACACCTCGAGGGAAGCCCGGCCGCGGCGACCGAGCACTCGCCGGGACGAGCGGCGTCATATGATCGTCGGTGCCCCCGCCGCCCGGCCCACCACCACACTCCCACAGGCCCGCCCCGCCAGCACGCCCACACCCCTCCCCGCCGCTCGAAGGCACCCCCCCCACCCCATTCCCGAAGCGAAGCCCCCCCTCCCCCCTCCCTCCCGTCCAGAGACCCCCCCCTCCTTCCCCATTCCCCGTCCAAAGGCTCCCCCCTCCCCCTGCTCCCCCCTCCCCCCTCCCCCCCCTGTCCCCGTCCGGAAGCCCGCCCGTCCCCATGCATCCCCCCCGCACGTCCCATGAGACCTCTGCCCTGCAGCCCCCCGCGGCGGAGCTCCTCGTCATCGCGGGCGCGGGCCTGCGCCCGGGCGGGATGCCGGCGGCCCCCCCCCCCCCCCCACCCGGAGCGGGGTGCCGGGCCGCAGGGGAGGGCGGAGCGGGGGGGGACAGAGGCGGGGAGAAGGGGACGGGGGAGGAGGGATGGGGGGGGGGGGGGGCGAGGGCTTAAGGCTTCGCGGGCCCTGGAAACGACAGGGCCGTTTTTTACCGGTTCCGTCTTGCCGTTTTTTGCCGGTTCCGACGCCGTTTTTTTTGCCGGTTCCGTCGACGTTGTTTTACGGGTTCCCGCTCCGGTTCCAATCCTGGGGCCGTTTTTGTTGCCGTTTCTGGTCGCCGTTTTTTTGCCGTTTCCATTTTCAAGGGACACTTTTTCGGAAACGGTGAAAAATCGGCCCTGCCGTTTCCGGGGCGGGGGAGGGGGAGAGCTACCGCCGGGAAACTTTCCGAGCTTCTCGTCCTGTCTCGCGAAAAGTATAAAAGCGCGAAGCAAGCTGTCGCGGGGGGAGCTAGCAGGGGAGGAGAGACGAGTAAGAGTTGGATGAGAGGAGCAGAGATGGGGAGGAGTTTGACGGAATGGAGGAGGAAAAGGAGGGTGAAGAAGTGGAGGCTTGAGGAGTATCAGAAGGAAGGAGACACAGGAAGAGAAATTATGGGAGGACGAGTGAGAGGGGAAGGAGGAAGGAAGATGCGAGGGCGGGATGATGAGGGAGCAAGAAGGGAGAGAAGAAGGAGGCGAAGGAGTCTGGACGAGGGTGCGGAGCAGGAGGAGGAGAAGGAGGAGGCGGAGGATGATGAGGAAGCAGGAAGCGGACGAGAGGGAGGTGGAGGGACGAAGAAGAGGATCGGGGGAGGAATACCAGCGTACAGCTATCCTCAAACGGGAGGGCCCAGAAGGGCCTCAGGAGGACCTCCAACAAGGCCCGACGGAGCCAAGCTCATTGATTCCTCATGCTGTTATATAATTTTCCAATTCTCGCCTGTCGGAGCTTCCGTCATCTCAAGACGGCCCCCACGGAGCCTCCACGATGGCCCCAAGACGGCCAAGGAGGCCCCCAAGAGGGCCCCAAGACGGCCCAAACGAATTCCATGGAAGCTCATCAAGTAATGAAGGGGAGCGATGCAGCATGACAGCCGTCCTGCTCCTCCTCCTGCTCCTGTTGCTGTTCCTCCTCCTCGTCACCACCACCATCATCACCACCACCGCCACCACCACCATCATCACCATCAGCACCAACAGCGTCATCAACAGCATCATCATCATCATCATCATCATCAGCATCATCATCACCATCATCATCATCATCGTCGTCGTCGTCGTCGCCATCGTCATCCTCATCATCATCACCACCATCACTATCACCATCATCATCAGCATCAGCATTATCATCATCGTCATCGTCATCGTCAGCACCATCGTCGTCATCATCATCACCAGCCTCCTCACCATCATCGCCATCGTGACTCCCATCACTGTATAGCAATATCTTCGATTCCATCAACACCATCGTCATCATCACCATCGTCATCAGCATCACCATCATCATCATAAGCATCAGCACCAGCATCAGCATCACCATCATCATCAGCCGCATCATCATCATCATCAGCATCATCATCAGCATCATCATCATCATCATCATCATCATCATCATCCTTATCATCAATATCGTTCCCATCCTCATCATTGTCCTTATCCGCATCTTCATCTGCATGTTTTCCTCCTCCTCCTCCTCCTCCTTCCCCTCATCACCATCAACACCTCCATTCACCTCAACAACAACATCGTCATCATCTTCGGCATCTGCATGATCACCATGATGAACACCATCATCCTAACCACCACTGCTCTATCACCTCCGAGCAAACGCCGCAAAAAAATGCTGGGATGGCACGGTGTCGGGATTTGCCGCAGGCAGCTGGATATCCGCCACCGTTTCGCAGGCATCGACTGGAGTACCCTAAGGTACCTTGGAGCCCTCACCATATCGACGGTCCGCAGCGCAGCTGAAGGCCTCGACCTCCATCGTGCCCGCAGTCGCGACAAGCGGCCTGTGCGAGAGCCCTCTTAGGGGCCTCCTGGGCTGTCTTGCAGGCCCTGGAGTAGGCCCCCACGAGGGCAGCATCATTGTAAATCATGCGATATCTACTCCAGATCCTTCAATGGCGGCCCCTGGAGGCCCCCAAGATCGCCAGGGGCAGCCCTGGAGCCCATACGCGAGGGGCCCAAGATGGGTCCCGAAAGAAGAACCCGAATTGACGTGTGGAGCCTCCCTCCGCGCCACGCCAAGATGCCCTCCGAGAGGGCCAGTGAGCCCCTCAGAAGCCCACGAGAGGCCCCCATGACGCCCCCAGGAAACCTAAGCCCCTTCCGATCTCCCAAGAGACCCCGAGATGATTAGCAATGAGAACCCTTTGGAGGCGAGCTCAATTAGGAGGCCAACACATATCAGGGATGTGGGGGTCGTTCCTGCACATAATTCATGCAGAGTCGCCCAGGTGTATTATCCCTGATGCAAAGACGGGGACCTCAGTGACGCCACGCCTTCACTTTGTTTTTCGGGTTCGGGGGTTCTTCGTATCCGCAATGACGAGAGCCCTCTTACAGACCTCTGGCCACGACCCAGGCACGGTTGCGGAAGGGTCCGAAGGCCACAAGATGACGAAGATGACGGCAAGCAAAGATAAAAGATAAAGGGGCCCAAAAACACCTATATATCTATATCTTTAAATATATACATGCGTACATACATACATACATACATACGTACATACATATATACACAATTCCCGGGATCCACCATATTCCCAATATCTTCTGGGTGTTTGCCTTCCCCCCCTTCCCCTATCTTGTCCACATTTTCCTGGGGATCGACGACTCATCGTGTCTGCGTGTTTTCCCCACTGGGGAGAGGGCCTGTCTGCCCGAGGGGCCCGTGCCCCGGAGGCCTCCAAGAGGTCCCCGAAAGCCCCGCTGCTCGGCCGCCGACCGAGCCCAGTCCTCGATCCTCGGCGCCCCCTCCCGACGGTCTGCTGGGATCGGATCGGGGGGGTGCTAAGGACATGTCTATAGGGGAACGAAAATTCACAAAAACATAAAAACTCGGAGGTCCGCGCGGATTTCTCGGATCGGCGCCGGGGCCCCCTGGCGGCGCCTCTGGCGCCGCCCCTGGCGCGCTCCGCGCGCCAGGGAGGGGTGTCCAGCGCCGATTCGAGAAATCCGCGCGGACCTCCGAGTTTTTATGTTTATGGGACTTTTTGTTCCCCTAAAGTCGGGCCTCTCCCCCTGCAGGCGGATTTTGGACGAAAATCAGACTTGATCGACAAATGTTCAGACAATGGTCATACAAGGATGGCTATGCGTGGATGCCGTGGACACACCAACATAAACTGTTGGCGCTCCGTGCGGGATTCTTGGATCTGCGCTGGACCCCTCTCCCTGGCGCGCGCAGCGCGCCAGGGGCGGCGCCGCAGGCGCCGCCGGGGGGGGGCAGCGCGGATCCAAGAAATCCGCGCGGAGCGCCAACAGTTGATACTCTGGCGTTTTCTCTGCTTCGAAGGGTGAGTTATATCTGTGCCAGCCTGGCTCATAAGTGGGGTACTCTCAGAAGCCCCCGCGCCTTCTTAGAAGATGTCTGTGTGTGTGTGTTTCGGGGAGGGCCCAGAAACATCTCCGAGAGGCCCCGCCTTCTGACAAGGCCTTCTCCTCCGCACGTCTCCCACATCACGCGCCGCCGATCCAAGCCCAGCGCGGCACGATCGGGAGCGGCCAAGAGGGGGGTGTCCAAGATGGGGGGGTGCAAATCATGACTGGCGGCATGTGCGCGGCCCAGCGGGGGGGCCAGGGACGCAATGAAACAAGAAGAGGCGCCACGAAATATGGGGAGGTATCATGGCCCCCGCCATGATATCCCCCCCCCCAGTCATCACCCCCCTCTTCTCCGCCCCCGATGCCAGCCACTGGAGCGAGCGGAGCCCGCCGCGAGGCCGGAGCTGGCCGCCTGGCCGCCAGGGACTCCTCGACGGCCTTGGCCTGGTCCCAGTTCTGCGGGGGCGGCGGCGCGCGCGGACGGAGGCGGCGGCGCACAGCTCGGCGGGCTGCGCAGCTGCTTCGCAGGATGGCCCCAGATTTAAGTCGGGCCTGTCCCCCTACAGGGGGATTTTCGACGAAAAGACAAATACCCGACAAATAATCAAAAAATACTTCAAACATGGTCCCGGGACTATTTTTTGAGGATGTTTTGACCTTTTTGGATTATTTTTGAGGTAGTTGTTATTTTTCGTCGAAGATCCCTCTGTAGGGGGACACGCCCGACATAACCCCAGGTGCCCCTCGCTTGTCCCTGCCGAGAGAGAGAGAGAGAGAGAGAGCACACGTCCGAGTGATGCCAAGACCCAGGCGACCGCAGACGACGAGGTGCGTGCGACGTGCGACGTGCGACGGCGCAGGCGACGGCCGCCGCCGACGCACGACGACGACACACTACGACAATGATCGACCGCCGAGGAGCGATGAAGGCCAGAGACGACGACGACAACCAGCAGCGACGACGCATGACGACGACGACCACCACCACGACGACGACAACGCCGAACCGACGACGAGCGACGACGAAGACGGTCAACAGCGACGCCTGATGACGACGACGACGACGACGAAGACGACAATCACGACGCCGACAACAAGCGTTCGACGACGAGCGAGACGATCACGACGACGTACAACAGCGACGACAGATGACGACGACAACGACGACGACGACAACAATCACGACGACGACATCGACCGACCGACGACGAACGACGACAACGGACGACGACAAAAATGACGACGACGACAACGACCGACCGACGACGACGAAAAACAGCGACGACAGATGACGACGACGGCAACGACGATCGTGACAATGACAACTACCGAACGACGACGTTCGACGACGACCGACGACGACGACGACGACCAACAGCGACGACCGATGACAACGACGACGACGACAATAGCGATGACGACAACACCGACGACGAGCGACGACGAACAACAGCGAGGACGGATGACGACGACGACGACGATCACGACAACAATAACGACCGGCCGACAACGGCGACGACAAACAACAGCGACGACGGATGACAATGGCAACGACGACAAGGACAATGACAAAGCCGATCACAACGACGACGACAAAAACAACGACTACGACGACGACAACAATAGCGACCAGCCGCGGCGACCCAAGACAAGGACCGACCGACCGACGAGCGACGACGACCGACGACGACGACGAACAATAACGACGACGACAACGACGACAACGACGACGACGGCGACGACGCCGACCAGCAACGGCGACCGACGGACGACAAAACCACGAGGCGCCGGGGCAAAGCAGCGGTCGCTGTGCCTGCACTCCCGCGAGGTCCACGGTGAAGCCGCCGTCGTGCTGGACCATCAGCGGCAACCACTGCTGGACCAAACCCAGCTCGACCGTCAACTCCTGCCGCCACCCCTGACCCCCTCGCGTTGTGAAAAAAGCACGGCGCGAAGTGCTGCTCTATTTTCGGCCTCCGGGGGGCCCTTACCAGGCCCCGGGACCGTCGAGAAACGACCCGGGCTGAAAAACATGTCCTGGAGAAGAGGTCCAGGTTTCTGGGGGGTCGACGTTGCGAAACAAAACACGTCGTCGGGGGTTTGGGACGCGGACGACCGCGAAGACGGTGGCGGCCGCCAGGGGAAGCAAGCGGAGGGGAGCGCTGGCTCAGGGTGGAAGGGGGACCTCGCCCGCAGACCAGCAGCAGGCCCCCGATGCCCCAATGATCCGAGGGACGCGCCCGGAGACCTGTTCCCCCCAGGGGCGAGAAGGCGAGGGTTCGCATCCGAGGTGGGCCGCAGATGGAGGCCCAGAGGACAGTGGGGGAGCAATCGATGGGCGGATCGATATCTGCCAAAGACGCCCCCCATGGTGGTCGCTGCTGCGGTCCGCGCGGGACTGGAAATCTGCGCTGCCCTCATTCCCCCGGAGAGAACATGTTCCCGAAGCCCCACCAGGGCCCCCAACCCCAGTGCGCGCGATTGGGACTACGCGCAGAAGCGCAACTGGGCAAATCTGATTTGACCAGACTGCGGTGCGCCTGCACGCGCAGTCCAAGATCCGAAGGACAATTCCATTCTACACCCCTGTGCGCCGCACAGATTTTCATGAAAATGGTCATACAGTGATTCTCAACAACTGCATGCCCCGATGGGGGGTCCCAGGGCGCTAACGCGCCCAAACAGCAAACATGTTCTGCTCAGTACTGCAAAGAGCACACTCCGACAATCATCTGCAGGCCGCCTCTGGAGATACACCTACCAGGTGCTCAAAAGCCTCCCTGGAATGCGTCCGCCGCTGCCGCGCACCAGCAGTGCTGTGTTTACACGGGCCCGTCGATGCCTCGCAGCGGCGCCAACCGAATGCTCAACTTCGATCGCGCGAGTGTTTCATCCAGGAGGCTGGGAACACACACGCGGACACACACACACACACAAACACACACACACACACTGATTCCTAGTCCGCCGAGGTGTCGCGGATGCATGAGCGGGACGCGTTCAAAGAAAGCAATCTTCACCGAACTTTGTGGATGGGAGCGGGCGAGCGACCAACGAGCAAATTGCATCCATCACTGTGGGCGCGGTGCCCCGGGGGGCTGCGTTGAAACTCGGCGGTGGGCCCGAAATCGACGGACCTGGACGCGCACGAATGACGGCCGCGAGGCCCTCTCTTGCGAACCGAAAACGGCCAATTCGCCGATCGACGTGTCAGGGTACGAAATCCATCGGCCTCCAGAAGTGGCTGAAGCGCACCGGGCAAGGGCAGCAAATGTCACACAACGTTGGGCGCGTGCGCCCGGCGGTCTGCCTCCAGCCATGGATCAGCAGTGGGTGGACGAAGAGAAGAGCAGCACTCGGGCGTTGGCAGAACTGGGTTTGGAGGGACCTGGTTCAGCGATGTGCACTGGGGGACGCCCCCCCGCCCGTTCCACTAATCGGAATGGCCGTCCCCCGAAACAAAAAACAGCTACGGCAGACTTGGATCAGCGTTTCTGGCAAATTTAGGGGATCTGGGGCCCTATTACTAACCGGCTCCGCTTACCTGGGGCCCTGGCTATGCCCGAAGCACGTACCCAAGAAGCGCGGTGCCATCCGGACGGATGCGGACGATGAGCAAGGCAGCAGGCGGCCAACGGGGAGGCGGTGCAGAAAGCCAGCGACAGCAGGCCGGGAGCAAAGACAGTCCGCAGACTGGCAGTCTGCGAATGTACAAGCACGGAGGCGTGGGCGTAGAAGCGACGGGGCGTTGGCGCGGCAGCAACACATGCCACACACAAACAAACACTTTTCTGCGTCGACGGCTGGGCAGCGGTCGTCTGCGCTGGCGGAAAGAGCTAACTAAACGGGGGCACCGTTGTAGCGAAGTGGCCAGCATGCAAGAGGAGGAGGAGGAGGAGGAGGAGGAGGAGGAGGAGGAAGAGGGACAGAGCGGGCGGCAGCAGGGGGGGGGAAGAGAGGGCCACCCAGGGGACACACACACACACACATACAAACACACACACGTACATGGACACATACGCGTTGCACGTACGCGTACACGTGCTCGTACACGCACTCGTCCACGTCCACGCCCACGTCCACGTCCACGTCCACGTCCACGTCCACGTCCACGCACACGCACCCACGCACCCACGCACACACGCACACACGCACACACGCACACACGCACGCACGCACACACGCACGCACGCACGCACAGACACAGACACAGACACAGACACAGACACAGACACAGACACAGACACAGACACAGACACAGACACAGACACAGGCACAGGCACAGGCACAGACACAGACACACACAAACACACGCTGCAGGATCCACGCGCGGAGCATGCGGATGCCTCCCAATGGACACGCGTGCGCGGCGGAAGGCAAGCGTCCCCGGCCGCACACGAGGCTCGAGAGCCGAGGGGGCACGCGGCCACGTGCATCCGGCAGCCGCCCTGGCAGCCACTTGCCGTGCGCATGCCTTGGGACACACAAATAAATGCACACAACTCAGAAGATTCTCTATATTTTCTCATATTTTCTGTTAATTTTGTCTTCCCTACAAATTCCCATATTTTTCAAAATTTTCCTGGGAGTCGACGATTCATTGTGTCTGTGTGTGTGTGTGTGTGTGTGTGTGTGTGTGTGTGTGTGTGTGTGTGTGTGTGTGTGTGTGTGTGTGTGTGTGTGTGTGTGTGTGTGTGTGTGTGTGTGTGTTTCTCCCCCCCTGACAATACTGCGAAAAAGCACGCGTGGCTTCTTACTCCGGGGAGCCGTGAGACTCGGGCTCGGGGGGGTCGGGTTGGCCTGCCAGGGCCGCAGGAGGACGAGGGAGGAGGAGGAGGAGGAGGAGGAGGGAGGAGCAGGAGGAGGGAGGAGGAGGAGGACGAGGGAGGAGGAGGAGGAGGAGGAGGAGGAGGAGGGAGGAGGAGGCTCGAGGCCTGCCGCGAGGCCACCTCCGGGCAGGCACGCACGGGGCACCCGCGGCCGCCCCGGAAGGCAGCGGCCACAGGCCACGGGGAGTGCACCCCTCCGGCTGCCCGCGCGGGCTTCTGGGGCCGCGACGCCGGGGGTCCCCGGCGGGGAGGGGGCCTGGCGCCGACGCAGGTAAATCGCGCGCGGATCTCCGAGATGTGACACTTTGAAGGGGCCCTGGGACACACAAATAGATATACACAACTGACAGAATCCCCAATCTTTTCCTATATTTTCTGGGTTCTTGTCATCCCCCCATTCCCATATTTTCCAATATTTGCCTGGGAGTCGACGATCAATAGTGTCTGTGTGTCTCTTTCCCTCCTGACACTTGCACGCGTGGCGGACTTCCAAGAATGACTTCAGTGAATGCTGATACCCATTGGGTCAGCTTCACTGAAGCGTACGCTAGCCGTGCGAGGCCTGGGCGCAGGCGGCCTCGACTTACATCCGCCGCCCTCCGCCGGCTTCCGCCGAGTCAGAGATGTCAACTCCTTCGGTCCTCGAAGGCACGGCCCTTGTTGCAACGCCTCACATGGCTTTACGGCGGCCAAGCTGGAGCAGGGAAGCCGCGCCGCGCAGGGACGGAGAGCAGGGGCCCGCAGCGAGCCTCCACCGTCGGCTCTTCGACCATCTTCAAGACCTGGCCGCCCGGCTGAAACACCCTGCCTTTTGAGCAGGGACCGATCCTCACGGCACTCCAGCAGGCCGACCACGACATGATCTCAGAAGCCCTAAGCTCTAGAACAACAAAGCCAACGTTCTTAGACCAGAGAGCCGATGTGTTGAAACAAGACGGTCTCAGCCAGAAACGTTCTGAGTATTACATCAAGGGCTCCTAACTTCGTGCTTCGCGCTGCGCGAAGCGCGAAATGCGAATAACTTCGCGCTCTCGCGCCGCCTCCCCGGGGAGCAAAGGCGGATGAGGAGGAATCAGAGCCGAACCGCGAAGCGCGAATACCTTCGCGCCCTCGAGGGCGCCCTTGGACATGATCTTAGAAGCCCCTAAACTCTAAAATGCAAAGCCAGCGTTCTCAGACCAGAGAGCCGATGTGTTGAAACAAGACGGTCTCGGCCAGAAGCATTCTGAGCACGTGCTGTGCCAATCTCGAAGGGGCGCAGAAGGCACCCGCACAGCCACCGCGCCTGGTCGGGGCCCTCCTCGCCCCTGCCACGGTGCACACGACCTCCTCCTCCTCCTCCTCCTCCTCCTCCTCCTCCTCCTCCTTCCTCCTCCTCCTCCATACGATATCCTCCTCCTCCTCCTCCTCCTCCTCCTCCTCCTCCTCCTCCTCCTCCTCCTCCTCCATACGGCCGCGCTGATCCTCCTCCTCCTCCTGCTCCCTCCTCCTTTCCCTCCTCCTCCTCCTCCTCCTCCTCCTCCCTATTTCCTCCTCCTCCTCCTCCTCTTCCTCCTCCTCCTCCTGCTCCCTCCTCCTTTCCCTCCTCCTCCTCCTCCCTCCCTATTTCCTCCTCCTCCTCCTCCTCCTCCTCCCGGGGCGCCCCAGCCCCGCGCCCCAGCAACAGGCAGTCCGGCGTCCCAGCAAGCGCCTGCTGCGCTCGCTCTCGGTGGCCATTCCCTGCCCTCTCCTGCCGCCACCAGGCGCCAACCCCTCTGCTTACCAGTGGCACCCCAACCCAATCCGAAAATCAAAGTTTCGAGGGGGGGTCGAGGCCCGTGTGTGTGTGTGTGTATCTGTGTGTGTGTGTGTGTGTGTGTGTGTGTGTGTGTGTGTGTGTGTGTGTGTGTGTGTGTGTGTGTGTGTGTGTGTGTGTGTGTGTGTGTGTGTGTGTGTGTGTGTGTGTGTGTGTGTGTGTGTTCCACGACGACCCCCCTCCCCCACCCCTACTGGAAATGGAAGGCAAATCGGGGCCTTCAGCTTGGGTTGGGGTGGCTTGGTGGGTGGTGACGCTCAGCGTCTCTTCATCCGTGGCCATCGTCCCTGCCCGAGGGGCGCCCTTGGTCCTGGGACGCGCGCCCCCCCAAGGCCAGCACCAGGTGCTGCGGTAGGCAGCGCCGAGGCCTCGCGCTCCAACCTCGATCCTGGACACTGGATCCTCCACTCCCCGCCCCCCTCCCTCCTCCCACCCTGGGACGCACAAGGACGCACTAGTACGTTATGTCCTCCTCGGAGGCGTGCGCCCGACCCGAACATATCGTATAATCAGATTGTCAGAGCGGGGGGGCCGAACGGTCATTCATTGTCCCTGGGTGCGTGCCTGAATCGGGAATTTGTGGTGACAATTATGTTTGTTGTGTTGCTGTTGTTGTTGCTGCTGCTGCTGCTGATGTTGCTGCTGTTGTTGCTGTTGTTGTTGTTGTTGGTGGTGGTGTTGTTGTTGTGGTGGTTGTTGCTGCTATTGTTGTTGAATTGTCACATCTGAAAATAAATATTGTTGATCCCCCCACCGGTGCATACTGATCCCTCTCAATCAAAGTGTGCCCCATCGACGCTCGCACCCTGTTTTTTGACAAGGAAAGTCTTCCTGTTCAAACTGGGCCCCTGGCCCCCGGGTTGCGACAACAACGGCTCCCGCTTGAGACTTCCTTACAATTCAGCCAGGACCCCCGCTCCCGCCCGAGACTTCCTCGCGCTTTATTCAGGAATCGCGCTCTCGCTTGGGACGTCCTTAGAATTCACGCAGGAATCGCTCTCCCGGCGCTCTGGAGTCGCGCTCTCGCTGGTGACCTGCTTGCAACTTACTGAAGAATGGCCTTGCGTTGGAATGTCCTGCAATTTGCCCAAGCGCCGGGCTCCCGACACCCAGTCACCCAGGAGCCGCGCCCGTTGTGGCCCGATGTGCATGCCCTTCGTGGCCCCGCTGTCGCCATTTGTGACCCCCTCACTGTCCTACGTGGCCCAGTTGCCACCCTCAGTGGCCCCATCGATGCCTTCTGTGGCCCCGCATTATCTGCACTTCGTGGCCCCCGCTCGTTCGCGCTCTTCGTGGCCCCATACGCATTCCCTTCGTGTCCCCGCTGTCGCCCTTCGTGGCCTACTTCGTGCCCTTCGTGGCCCTGCTGTCGTTCTCTCTCGCTCTCGCTTTCGCTCGTCGTCGCCGTCGTCGTCGCCGTCGCCGTCTTCGACGTCGTCGTCGTCGTCGTCGTCGTCGTCGTCGTCGTCGTCGTCGTCGTCGCCGTGGTCGGTCCCCTGTCCGTCCCTCTTGGGGTCGGGTCGACGGTCCGCGGCCGCCCCGCCGATCAGCGCTGCCGCTGGCCAGGCCGACGGTCCGCGGCCGCCCCGTCGCTTGCCGGGGCCCGGCCTGCAGGGAAGAAAGGTATACCCCCCAAAAGGGGTTCGATCGAAGACGAAGAGGGCGGATATCGAGGGTTTGGGAAATACGCGTTATTGGACACTCGAGGAGATACGGGCGATCAACCTTAAAATCATTATTGTTGTTGTTATTGTTGTTTGCTGTCGTCGTCCCACCCGCGACCCACCCCGCGCCCCACCCGCGACCCACCCCGCGACCCACCCGCGATCCATTCAGCGACCCACCCGCGACCCACCCCGCGACCCATCCGCGACCCACCCGCGACCCGCCCAGCGACCCACCCGCGACCCACCTCGCGACCCATCCGCGTCCCACGACCCACCCCGCGACCCACCCCGCGAACCACCCTCAAGGGAAGAGCAACCACCCAGACCCGACAATTTACGTTTACGAAGCGGCCCTGGGCGTTTACTAAACAGCCCTGACCTGCTCGATGTATTTGTGCTCGTTTACCAAACGGCTTCGCTTGTCAGGGTGATTCTGATGGGGTGGACTTTCTGCCCTCTACACCAGCGACCCACCCGCGACCCAACAGCGACCCACCCGCGACTCACCCGCGACCCACCCGCGACCCATTTGCGGTCAACCCGCGACCTACCCACATTGGCTTGATGAAATAATCGGCGGCTGCGGCAGGCTCGTTGCATAAGTTGGGAAACTTTGGCGCGTGCGGCGGGCTTCTCCAGAGTCTCCCAAACTGCCGACGTCCCCACCGCCCCCTCACTCTTATCCGCATCTGCGGGGTGCTACGGTAATATTTCCGTTCCCGAGCGGTACGGCCAGAAAAAAACGCCTGCCACGACGCATATACTACAGTAGGGGCCCGACCACAAGAAACCTTCCACAAGAAACCCAACCCTGAGACCCCAGGATGTTCATTGATTTTTTGGTGTGGAAATGTCACGTTTTCCATCGCAAAATCATCGAAACCCAAGAAGCCCAAGGCACCCTGGTGGCAAGCAGGGTTTTTCTTGACATTGGCCCCAACTGTACAAGAGTTCTCAGTGCGCGCGTCGCCCCTGGGGGTGGGGGCGACGCACACATGTGTTAATATGTTTGGGTGCCGCCGGCCCCACCTGCCTGCAACCTGCAGGGCGGGCCCTGTCCACCTCAGCACCTCGGCTTTGGCTTCGGCTTCAACTGTGGGTTAACCGCGAAGCGCCTTCGGGCCGGCTCATCCGAGTCGGCTTTCCGCTCACATGGGCGCGCCTCTCCCGCGCAACTCCTCTTCCTCGTCCACATCCATCGTCCACCTCCTTCTCGCGCGAAGGACGGGGAGGGGGCTCCGGCTCACCCGAGTCGGCTTTCCGCTCACATGGGCGCGCCTCCCCCCCGCAAATCCTCTTCCTCGTCCACATCCATCGTCCTCCTCCTTCTCGCTCGAAGGACGGGGGGGGGCTCCACGTCGCCACCTCCGAGAGCGGCTCGTAGAGGCCTCCTAGATGGGGACCGAGTGGATGGGGTCGGATGATCGCGCCACATCGCCGATACATCGCCGATGCATCGGCGATGCATCGGCGATGCATCGGCGATGCACCAGCGATTCATCGACGACGTGGGCGATGCATCGGCGACGTCGACGTGAAGCAAATCGGGCTGCACATCGAGCCGCATCGGCGATGCATCGGCGATGCGGCGCGATCCTCCGACCCCATCTACTCGGACCCCATCTAGGAGGCCTAGAGCTCGAGAGAGCCCCTGGGTGCCTCCCGCCGGGCTGGCTGGCGCGAGAGAGTAGCTGCTGAAGGAGACGGTGCGCACGAGGAGAGAGGGAAAAAAGGTCACAGAGGGAGGGAGGGAGGGAGGGAGGGAGGGAGGGAGGGAGGGAGGGAAACAAGAGACCAAGGCCCCACTCCTCACCAGAACTCCGACGTCCAGGGCAAGCACAGCAGACGACGGAACTTTCCTGCGAATTTCGGGCCCTGGGGGCACTTTCCGAGACATGGGTCTCTTGAATAATCAGTCCCGGCTGAAAAACAAACCCCGTAAAGGAGCCAGGTCTGGGAAGCGCCCAGCCGAGCCCAAATTGCTAACAACAAATCCAAAGATCCACCCCACCTCTTCCTCCGTATCCACACCCTCTACATCCTCATCCTCCCCCTCATCCTCCGCCTCCCGCCTCTCTTCCCCCCCCCCCGCTCTTCCTCCTCCTTTACCTCCTCCTTTACCTCCTCGGTGTCCTCTTTCGTGTCCTCCTCTCTCCTGATCCTCCTCCTCCTCCTCCTCCTCCTCCTCCTCCTTCTCTCCTCCTCCTCCTCCTCCTCCTCCTCCTCCTCTTCCTCCTCCTCGTCCTCCTCTTCCTCCCTCCCCATGCTTATTCCGCCACCTCCAGCTCTCGCTCCTGAAACTCCTCCCACTCCCCGCTTCCCGCTCACCGTTCTCCTCATCCAACTCCTCCTCCTCCTCCTTCTTCTTTGTCTTCCGTCCTTCCTCCTTTCATATTCCTACTTCCCCATTGC